TTCTGGCGTTGGACAGACTTCGGCAGCTACCTTCAGTTCATCAGTTTCTTCACCTTCCTAACGTTCGCTATCACTTTTTGCCTCCGATCGAGTTCCATCTACGTACAGACCCTCGGTTTTGTCGCCCTCCTTACCGAGGCCATGCTCGGAGTGCCACAGGTGATCACCAACTTCCGAAACGCCTCAACCAAGGGGATGAGGTTAGTCCCGCTGTGCTTTGCTAATGAAACCTTGCTCCATTTTCACTTATAATCACAGTGACCGTCTGTTGACGATGCTGATTGTACCAAAGTGAGGACGGACGATATTGTGACAACAACGAGCATCCCCGTAAACTGAACACAGAACTGTCAGTAGCCCGTTACGAAATGCAACTACTCAAATGGTAATAAGTATTTGTCACTATGAATAATTGGCATAGTGCTTCCAAATGCGCTTTTAGTCAAAGATTCCCAGAGGAGGCGTCAAAAAGGTTCATTTTCACTCTGCGACAAAGCTTCTCTCAGCATATCGCTGAAATAGAAGGCATCTGCAAGGTTTCTGCATGTGGAGTATGCACTGCGATTCATGAAATATGGGCGAAGTTCTGAATATCTTTTTGAACAAGGAAAATTGTAGCTCAACTTGGTGTTGGGTATAGTCCTTGGGCCTTAAGTGAGCATCTCAGCTGCTCCATTTACGAGCTCACCAAGTACTTTATATGTTTATCATTGCTTTTTATTCAGTTTTTTTAAATCTTTTGGAACTTCTTTGAAAGAATGCATCTTTTGTGCTCCTCCGTCTGGAGCCTAGTCATTTTTCAAATGTTGGCTCACAGGACAGGCGCATTTAGGTTTCGGTAAAAGTTAAAACGACAATTTCTTTTCGCTTGTACTCCAATTCTCCGAACGCTTTATCCGACAAGCAGAGCATGAATTCTACTAGCCGAGAGCACACAACCTTGGCAACCGTCGTGTGCAGAAACTATTTTAGTCCTTCGGGTCGATTTACTGTGATAAGTCGTGTAGTAGTAACCGCATGGTTCGGGATGCTCAGTTTTTGAGAACGGTAGCAGCTAAATTTCATTTCATCGCCACTTAAGGCCTCTTGTTTTGGTCTCCCCCCTCTCTCTCTTTTAGTCTGCAAATGGTGATACTTTGGACTGTTGGTGATGTCGCCAAAGTTGTCTACTTTTTCATCTCCTCAGCGCCCCTACAATTTGTTGTCTGCGGCTTCCTGCAGATCCTAATCGACCTGGGAATTTTATGCCAATTCGTCTATTACGATATTTTAAATAAGTGAACAGGCCTACGCGCATTCCGGCCTTCCTTTCTTTGATCTCGAGGTTTTCCATTCGACGGGGCATGCCATCAGATCTTTCGTTTTCTTTATACTGTGCATTTTCGATCTGCGACATGCTTCTCCTTTGACTTTTCAACAAAAGCTTTCATCTTTAGTTTGTGCTTTCTTATCCTGAGTTTTATGTCTGTATGAAGTTTTCACTAAGTTTTATTTTCCAGAAATACCTATTCAGAAGCTGTGTTCACCCTTCAGTCTTTGTTCGACTATTCATATGTTTTTTTAAATATAAGACAGTGATTTATTCGTTACCTTACATTGACTGCTTCATGAATCACGCTTGTACCGCATGGCCTATTAGTTGTCACAGCATTCAGTTGGCTGCAATTTAGGCGAGATTTAATTCACAGACGATCTTCGATCTAACTTACAAATGTTATTTCTTAGGGGGCTTTGACAGATTTGAATGATTCAGTTGACCCGATTATGAAAGGTTTGCGGTCTCAGTGGGATTCGAACCCACACAGCAGGGAAGGCTTTTGTACGACCAAGGCTCCACCATTGAGCTACGAAGGCACGCCGAAGCTTGGAATATAATCACACTTGGGTCAATTAATCCGACCACTCTAATGCTTGTATGCAATCCATTATTACGGATACAGTAGGCCGACTGCCCAGGTAGGATTTTTCTAGAGATTATCTTGAATCCACCAGAATGACTACTAGGCTCACATATTATTATTTAAGAAACTATCTTGGTTCACTGGTGCGGATTAACCATGTCACTGACGTTTCATAGAGCTTGCTTGGCTCAACATTGTCGAAGTGTTCAATGTTCTCAATTCAAATGACTTGCCTATGCCGGCAGAAGACGTTTATACGGGCCATAAGGCTCCTCTGGCCAAAGACGAACTCAGCACATGTGTCCACACTTGCAAGCATTGTTATTCTATATATATATATATATATATATATATATATATATATATATATATATATA